GGGCTTTTGTTCTGTGAGAAGAGAGAAGAAGAAAGCAATGAGTGACGCGTTTTGTTCGGACTGTAAGAGACATACAGAGGTTGTGTTCGACCATTCCGCCGGAGATACAGTTTGTTCCGAGTGTGGTCTCGTCCTCGAATCTCACTCAATCGATGAAACCTCTGAGTGGCGTACTTTCGCAAACGAGTCCGGTGATAACGATCCTGTTCGTGTCGGTGGTCCGACGAATCCTCTTCTAGCAGATGGTGGTCTCACCACCGTCATTTCCAAACCTAATGGTGCCTCCGGCGATTTCCTCTCATCTTCACTTGGTCGATGGCAGAATCGTGGATCTAACCCCGATCGTGGGCTCATTGTCGCGTTTAAGACCATAGCTACTATGGCTGATAGGTACGAATCTAGGTTTGCTTTTGCTCAAGTTCAATTTCAAGTCAATCGCCTCGCAATTCAGTCTTTTCTCGAATCCGAATTTTTGCTTGTGCTCAGAAAATTAGAGAATTATGGTTATTAGAGAAGCTCGAGGTAGATGAATCTTATAAGCAAATGTACGTCACTGGAAATAAAAACCTGACCTTTTTTCGCTATTTGGGGAAATGAAATACTTGATTTTGCTTATATATCTCTGCAATAACTCTCATTACTTGCCATTTTTACGATAATCAATTCGCTCAATGCCTTGTAGATTGTTTTCACTGTAAGCTAGGGGCTTGACTTTACTAATTTGATGTTCCTCCAGGTTGGGCCTTGTTGCGACCATCAAGGTATTCTCTTTATCTATGGCTTCTGCTTGAAATGTTTTCTGTTTTGTTAAGTTGCTGATGGTTTTGTGGAAATCTAGCTTGTCAATGTTTATTATTAAATTCTTTCCATATGTGTGCCTGTGTCTTTTCTAGTCATGTCCAAAACGTTTTGACATGGTTTTTCGCAGGACCGAGCCAATGAGATATATAAAAGGGTAGAGGATCAGAAGTCAAGTAGAGGAAGAAATCAGGATGCTCTTCTAGCTGCCTGTTTATACATTGCTTGCCGGCAAGAGGACAAACCACGAACAGTCAAGGGTACGAAACTGTTTTAAGTATCATTGTACATCTGTTCTTAGACAATCCAACATTCCCTTTTTTCATAAACCTATTCAATATTGTGTAGAAATATGTTCTCTTGCCAATGGAGCTAGTAAGAAGGAGATCGGTCGTGCAAAAGAGTACATAGTGAAACAGTTGGGGCTTGAAACCGGACAATCGGTTGAAATGGGAACTATCCACGCCGGAGATTTTATGGTGAGTTTTTCTTAAATTAGTGCCTTAATTTCAGTTCTTATCCGTGGTTTTCATTAACTTGATTGGTAAATCTCCAGAGACGTTTTTGCTCCAATCTTGGTATGACCAACCAAACGGTGAAAGCAGCTCAAGAATCTGTGCAAAAGTCAGAGGAGTTTGATATAAGGTTACATCATTAACCACTATAATCTTATCGTTTTTGTTTTCTGTATTTATCGGTTTTACATAGAATTGACACAGAGCTTTTAACCCATTGCAGGAGGAGCCCCATATCGATCGCAGCAGCGGTTATATACATCATAACACAGCTCTCTGATGAGAAGAAGCTTCTTCGAGGTCTATTCCTTTCACATTTTGTGAACGGAAACAACCTAACATCGGATTTTCACTAAAAATATAATCGTTCATGTTGAACCTTGCAGATATATCGGTGGCAACTGGAGTCGCAGAAGGAACTATAAGAAACTCTTACAAAGATCTCTATCCTCACCTTCCCAAGATCATTCCATCTTGGTATGCTAAAGAAGAAGATTTAAAGAACCTACAAAGCCCTTGAGTGTTCTTCTTTTTCCTCTCTCTAACTCGCTACCACACCTTCTAGTTTTGATTGGAATTATGGGTAGTGCGACTCGAGGTCTCGAACCACTGCTTAAACATGAGTTATCAAGTAGATTTGTGTCAAAAAAAACAAATCATAATTGATTTTCAAGTAGTTCTGTATCAAAACAAAATCATAATGACTTTTCCAATAGCTTTGCATTAAAAAAAAAATCATGATAATTAAAAAAAAGTTTGTTCTTATATATCATAAACTATTGAATTGATAAGATAGTATTTTTAAGTGAATTAACTCTGCTAATTAAGCAACAGATTAAACTTTAAAGGTTAACTAGATGATTATCTGCCTTATTTGTACGACTATAGTTTTTTTTTTGTCAACAAGATAATAAACTCCTCTACCACGGCTGTACGACTATAGTTATAGTACTTCAAAATGAAAAATAGTATAACGAAGATATGTAAACCGAGTGATAGTGATTTACTGTATAAGAAAGGTACCAAAACTATATTAACGAAAATTTGAGACCTCATCTACTTAGTACCACTCTCTAGTCCTTCGGCCATGTGGCCCCATAACACTGGTGAAAAATCTACAAATAAATCATTACAGAAACAATATTTCTAGATTACATGAGTGGAGTTATGTTTTCACAAAAAAAAAACCATAAATTATGAGGAAAAAAAATATTTATAAATCAAAATATATATCAATTGATTGACCATATTCTAAATTTATTATAGGGTTAATTTGTAAGATAACAAAAAAAAAACTAAAATTGCCTTATATAGCAAAATTATAACCATAAAATTTAGGAAAATTGGTTAGTTTTAAAATTATAGATTTTTTGTTAGTTATCTATGTTAATTTCCCTTTATTATAACCTCCGTCCCACTTATAAAAATTCTCAGTGCTCCTTAAATAATTCTCTGATGGTAATTGAAACTAATTTGTTACTATTTACTTTTGATTAAGCATATGAAATTCTTACTGTACAAACTACCCAACATCATTTTTACCAAAATAATTTTCCAAAAACTAAGTGAATTCATACAAATTTCATTCATGCAACTACTTGGTTCATTACCCGAGAAAAACTACTTTGTTCATTGTGCTTTTGCTATAGCCATTTTATGTTTTCAATTCACAAATTATATAAACGATGTAAAGTTGGTATATTCAATAGAATACAATATATGAGAACTACAAACGATGATGAAAACAGTTTAAATTTGTACAT